CACAGACATAGAAAACACGCTTATGGTTACCAAAGGGGAAAGGGGTGGGTAGGGATAAATTAGGAGTTTTGGATTAACATAGCCAAACTACTATATATGAAATAGATAACCAACAACTAGGTCCTTGTTTGTTATCTATTTTATAGATAACACAGATATCTATACTCAATATTTAGTAATAATGATAAGGGAAATGAATCTGAAAAAGAATATGTATGTGTGTATATGCACACACAATTAACTGAGTCATTGTGTTATACACATGGAACTAACACATTATAAGCAAACTATATGCTTTAAAAAAGAGACAGAATGGCTGTTAAAATAGTTTAATCAGTATGCCAGGAGGCAAGCATAATAGAATTAAAAATGTAAAAGAGATGAATGAGAAGATATCCCAATGAAACCAGAGACTTAAGGAGCTATTCTAGTTAGGTTGATTGTATTCAGCATATGTAAGCTAGCATGACACCTTTTAAAATAAATGTAGTCTTTGAGACATAAGAAATGAATCTTTACCAACAAGATTAGTAAAACATAAGAACTACATATGTGAAATACGTGCAGGTCAACCAGTTGCACTGCTCCCTGCTTGCACTGTTGGAATGCTCAGCTTACAGTTTCAAGTATGTGGAGGGTAGATTCTGGAAGAGGGTACCTTCCGGAAAGAGGGTTGCTGAGTCCACCTAAATAAAACTTAGGAATTGTCTTAGTGGTTTAGCTCATCTGGCCTCATTCACCCAACAATAAAGTCAGAGTTGCATTGTATTCAGAGGAACCTCAATGGCTTCCTCAGTGGCTCAGATGGTAAAGAATCTGCCTGCAATGCAGGAGACCTGGGTTCGATCCCTGGGCTGGGAAGAGCCCCTGGAGAAGGGAATGGTGACCCACTCCAGTATTCTTGCCTGGAGAATCCCGTGGACAGAGGAGCCTGGTGGGCTACAGTCCAAGCGATCACAGAGAGTCAGACACAACTGAAGGACAAGCACTTTCACTTTTCAAAGGGCCTCTAACTAATGCAGCATTTACAGCAATAGTCTTACGTGGCTATGAATGCTAGAGAAAAGTTAGACACTTGAGGAAAGGGCTGAGGTTTCCTCTAAGTATTTCTTCCTCTTCTCTCCTTCATAAAAGGAATCAATTTCCTAGTCACTGGAGAAAGCATTTGCACTAATCATGAACATGGTTTCTGGAAATCAAGCACTTGTTGATATACTTATATAAGATATTAAAATGAGCCCCTGGCATTTTCCCTTCTGATTCTTCACTTATGAATACTAACTGGGATGTATTTGGCCATAGGATTCCAGATAGCACTGAGGCCTCTGTATATTTGCCACCCAAGAAGATCGTTCCTACAACATTCTTGTGACCTCCTTAACAAAGAAATCTTTTCCATCACTGTGGAAGCCAAAGAAAGTTCATAACTCCTTACCTCTCTGGGTGTGTTTTATCACTCTTTTAAATTATAACAGGACTTCTCAGTGATACTTTTCTGAGCATCACGGCTAGTTCAAGTGCCGGTTCTCTACAATATCTTCTTTTTTCTTCCTCAGTAAACGTTGCCCTTTTCTCTCCTTTATTGTTTTGGAAGGTATACATTCTTTTTCTAGTATTTTAGCTCTTACATTTTTTAAAAATATAAATTTACTTATTCTAATTATAGGCTAATTACTTTACAATATTGTATTGGTTTTGCCATACATTGACATGACTCCGCCATGGGTGTACATGTGTTCCCATCCTGAACCCCCTCCCACCTCCCTCCCCACCCCATCCCTCTGGGTCTTCCCAGTGCACCAGCCTCGAGCACCCTGTCTCATGCATCCAACCTGGGCTGGCCATCCGTTTCACATATGATAATATACATATTTCAATGTCATTCTCCCAAACCATCCCACCCTCGCCCTCTCCCACAGAGTCCAAAAGACTGTCCTATACATCTGTGTCTCTTTTGCTGTCTCACATACAGGGTTATCGTTACCATCTTTCTAAATTCCATATATATGCGTTAGTATACTGTATTGGTGTTTTTCTTTCTGGCTTACTTCACTCTGTATAATGGGCTCCAGTTTCATCCATCTCATTAGAACTGATTCAAATGTATTCTTTTTAATGGCTGAGTAATATTCCATAGTGTATATGTACCATAGCTTTCTTATCCATTTGTCTGCTGATGGGCATCTAGGTTGCTTCCATGTCCTGGCTATTGTAAACAGTGCTGTGATGAACATTGGGGTGCACGTGTCTCTTTCAGTTCTGGTTTCCTTGGTGTGTATGCCCAGCAGTGGGGTTTCTGGGTCATATGGCAGTTCTATTTCCAGTTTTTGAGGAACCTCTGCACTGTACTCCATAGTGGCTGTACTAGTTTAATTCCCACCAGCAGTGTGAGAGGCTCCCTCTTCTCCACACTCATTTCACGAGTCAGAATGGCTGCTGTCCAAAAGTCCACAATGTCTTAAGTGATCTTCTAGCAAGAAATTATATTCCTATCTTTTCAATTCCTATAAGCGTCACAGTGCTGATCATTTGCTATCTCGAAATGTAGTTATTTATGTCCATATCTTACCTCTCCTATAAGACTGTGAGCTTTGGAGGAACAGTTGGTTTTAGATTATTGTTAAATTCCTCACTGTGCTTATTATAATTAGTAGATGTATCAATAACCACTTCTTGAGTAAATGAAGCAAAAAAGTCAGTTCTACTATGGTCTCTGAGCTGTAGTTCCACACTGGTTTTTTACAGATAAGTGTTATGTCCAAGCCTCAAAGAATACCACCCATCACTGTTATAATCAGGGTGTTATAAAGATATTATATTGTGTCAGTCTGTTAATTCACATTGAGTGAAATCTGAAACTGGCCACCATATGTGGAGGACAAGAAAGAGGTAGATCATTCCAGATTGCTGGGCGGCAGTTTTAATAACGAAGGTAACTTACTTGCAAGGTTTGTCTTGGCTGACTGCAAGGTCATTAGCTCTCTGCACCTGCCAGAACCATATAATGGGATTCGGTCATGCGTGCCATCTGGATGGCCTCAGCAGCACACTGCTCGCTCAAGGCCGCATCCTTGAAAACAGCTTGGCTGTGAGAACAGTGAGTGTAACGTATGTTCCAAGGACAGAATAGGGGGTGAGGAACCTCTGATTGCCTGAGTCTAGCTCATGGGTCAATGTGGTGGGTCACATCCTTTCCATGACCTCCTCCCAAATGGTGCCACTTAATTGTATATTAAGTCTGAGGGATCTCACATTGGTGGGTCAATTAAACCAGGTTCAAAAAGTTCAGTGGATCAGTAAAGGTGTTAATCTAGGAAATCAAGCCATTCTTAAGCTAACATCCTATGTTCATTCGAGTAATGTCTCCCACAGGGAATTCTTAAAATTACAGAGTGTCATCACATCAGTGTATTTACTGAACACTGTTTGCAATGTGTGTCAGTGAACAAGAGTTGGTTTTGATGTAGGAGGAACAGAGCAGAAATAGAGAACCGCACATCCCCTGCATTGCATCAGAGTTGCCTTTTTATGCATGGGAAACTATCAGGTATTAGTTCTATGCCAGAAAGGATCAAGTGTAAGATCATCGGTTTGGACTTCTCAATTGTGATATGGCTTTCTCAAAGGTCATTTGGTTTTTAAAATTAGATACTTCATACAGGGGAAGAACCAAAAAAACCTGGTAATAAATGGCATGGGGGAGATCATAGAAAAGTCTGGAGTCTTGGGATTATAGGAATAGTGGAATTTGTTTTAGCACATATATGGAAGTCAGGAGAAGAACTAGCTTGGAAGTGAAAAGGTGAAAGTAAAAGTCGCTCAGTCATGTCCAACTCTTTGCGACCCCATGGGCTATATAGTCCATGGAATTCTCCAGGCCAGAATATTGGAGTGGGTAGCCTTTCCCTTCTCCAAGCGATCTTCCGAATCCAGGGATTGAACCCAGGTCTCCCACATTGCAGGTGGATTCTTTACCAGATGAGCCACAAGGTAGGGATAAAGAAGGAAATTAGATTGGTTGTGGGCATGCTAAGAAGAGATGACACTATGCATTAGGCATGAGAAATTTATGATCTGACTTGAAAGGAAGTTCAGGACTTAAGAGATTCAAGAGTTGGGTACACCAGGGCTATAGCTCAGAAATGGCATGGAGAGTCAGAAGTCTGAGAGAGAACCATAAGAAACATTTTAATTAACGGGATCAGAAGTGTTGCTCGTTGTGACTCAAATCAATTTAAGTCCATCTCTGTTGAACAAGTTACTGCACTAAGCCAGTTGCAATACATGAATTTCCAAACATTGTTTCTGACAAGAGATTGAGCTAGCAAAATTTCAAGTTTGAGGATAAGAATTCCATTTTGTTGAATCATCACTGTTGTACTTCATCATTCTCTCTCAAATGGACTGGCTGAAGGAGTGGTATGGACAGCGGAGAGATTGTCAGTGGCCAACAGAACAGGCTCTCTTTCATTACTCAGCTTGCCACTTAATATATAGTAATATTCAATCTTGCTGAATTATTAATGGTTAAAATTTTATTTTACTTTATCCAGACTCATTCACATTTGGGTTAGGACTAAAGAGACAAACAAGAATGAAATCTGGATGATGCCCTGTCCATACTACTCACCATTATTTTATCACTGCATTAGGCAATTTGCTTAGAGTTCTAGGTCGAGGTGAGTTCTACTGTGGAATAATACCAAATTAGCAGATAAGTTTAAACAAATTTAAGATGGAATATGGTTATAAGTCCATATACTCCTGAAAAACATTTCAGAAATAGATGGTTTGCTCTGTCCTGAATATGGTTTGTACAATTATTTTTTTATTTATTAGTGGGATTTGGTGACTAAACTCATTTCATGCTATGTAGTACCCAGAGGAAAATGTAGGCATGCTACTGCTCTAAATGGACAGCTGTCCTCTAAAATGTCCTACTGTCTATTGAATTGCTTTGCAGTATTAAAACTGTGTTTCATTTTCCTCTTCTACTTTAGGTCTTGGGAGCTGAAGATGATAACAGAGGTGATGGCTGCTTGCGGAAACTGACGACTGTGAATGCGCTTCGTTTCCTCTTGCTGGTCCTGATTCCATGCATCTGTGCTGTCATTGTCCTGCTGGTGATCCTGCTCTCCTTTGTTGGTGAGTGATGCCATTATTAAAGAAAAATGAAGTTAAAATTAACATTAGTATGATTTGTAAGAGTGGTTTCTGCTGCTCTGGACGGTGGTTTACTAGTGGAGGATCTTCCTGGGCAAGGAGAAATCTGATTGCTTTTGCATTTGTAAAATGCAATAATGGATACATTATAGGGAATTGATGGTATAAAGAAATGAAGTTAGGGAAACCAATTTGGTGACTGGCTATCATCTGAGTAAAAGAGAGCAAGAGCTTGAATTAAAGCATTTGCTGCACGAGAATCAGTGGAAATCGAGACTGATGAGGATTTTGGTGTGGAGGAGAAAGAGGAGTGAGGGTTGGCTCTCAGATTTCTAGCTGAGGCAACCAGGCCGGCTCTGGCGCCGTCTCTTAATGTGGGGAGAAAAGGCAGAGGAGTGAGATGCGGGCATATGGAGGTCAGGTTGGGAGTTCAGTTAGGACATGTTAAGTTGGAGATTCTTGTGGGACAACTGAATACAGTAGAACCATAGTTTAAATGCACTTATTGTGAGCAAATTCAACAGTGCAGGCTGGGCCAAGAAATGGAGGACTGTCGAATTTCTTACCTTCCTAAGAAAATTTCGAGGGAAATAGTGAGTCTGTGTGATTTTTGGCTTCTGTACAGATTTTAGAATTGAACTCTCATCCTGCTGTTACTGGTCTGAAGCTGGAACCATGAGGAAGGGAGACTGAGAAGGGAGCCTAGCCTGCCTGTGTTTGTGAAGGTGGGGGTCTCAGCGGGAGTAGCAGGAGTAGGCGAACTGTGAGGACAAAGTGCACCGGTTCAAAGCTGAGGACAAAGCCAGCATCCTCCAAGGGTGCTGGTGTTTAGGGGAGATGAGAAAAGATCAAGAGAAGCCATAGTTGTTGGACAAGAAGGCAAGGATCCCAGAGATGCTGGGCTTCATAGACGCCTGGGACAGAGACGGTCCGAGGCCACCGGGTGACGAGTAAGAAGAGGACGGGAAAACTGCAGGTTTTCTGTTGGGGTTCCAGCCGCCCTGCCCCAGGCTGTGCCCGCTGTGGTCTGCTCTGGGCTAGAGGCAGGGCAAACCCTGAAGCTTGCCTCTCCCCCTGTCTTCTGCCAGGACCCCCTCCCCTCCAGACTTGGCCTGCTTTTCTTTCCTTTCCTGTGCCTTCCAGTAGCTGCTTTTTTGTATTTTGTCCAGAGTTTATAGTTGTTACATCTGGGAGAATCTGTCTGGTAGACGCTCCCGTGGTCATACCCCCGGCATTTGGAATGCTCTCATTGTCATAGCACTGTGTGGAGCGGCTCACACGCTGTGAAGAATACTTCCTTTCATTCTCAGGGTGGAATGCTAATATAAGCTTAAAACCTATTTTAAGTGCTTCAAAACTTAGAGGCCTCTGAGCAGAGGCAGGGTGCTATTAAAACAGTGCTTTACTTGGGTTTATTGATTGATTACATTAAAACATTTTTATAACTTTATTGAAATATAATTTATATACCATACAATTCACCCATTAAAAAGTGTGTACTTCAGGAATTTTTAATATATTTACAGGTAAGTTCAGTCATCACCATAGTCAATTTTTGAACATTTTCATTGCCTCCAGAGGAAACTTTCTTCTCTCTTAGCCATCTGTCACCCTTCCATCTTTCTGTGTTCCCTCTGTCCCAGCTCTAAGCAACCACTAATCTACTATATGTCTCTATAGGTTTCCCCTTTCTGGACATTTCATATGACCACGTGTGGTTTTTGTGACTGACTTCTTTCACCCCACATAATATCTTCAGAGTTCATCCATGTTATTGTATGTATAAGTATTTCATTCCTTATGGCCAAATAATACTCTGTTGTATGGATTTACCACATTTAAAAAATCTATCAATTGATGGACATGTTAGTTGTTTTCACCTTTTGACTATTATGTTGCTCTGAACCTTCATGTACAAGTTTTTATGTGTACATGTTTTCATTTCTCTTAGGCTTATACCTAGGGGTACAATTTTTAAAAAATCACTTGTATGACATTAGGAAACTCATCAATTTGTAACCATTTCTTAGTACTCTTTTGGCTGTTATGTAGGTAACCTTTAGAAAGTGGGTATTTTCTGACACTGTCTTCAAAAGCATTCTTTTCATGTTCTGAACCAGATGATTTCATATAGATACATTAAGTAATCTCTGCCCAGATAAACATTTCCTGTTTTATAACTGAGATGTTTACTTTTGTAGTGAGCAATAAAATCATTTTATATCTTTGTTTAAAAAAACCTCACTAGATTCTGCTTGCTTTTAAGAATGTTCTGTTTGATTTGAGTTTATAATTCATGCTCTTTCAAAGTTTTGCAGTTATTTCTGGGTCTCTAAGAGATGCTGTACAAATAGCAGGAGCTTTGGCTCCAAAAGGCGAAGAGATGGTAGTGAGAGGGCTGTTCCCTGGAAAATGTGGTGAAAGCCTTATGCTAACAAACACAGCGAAGAGATGGTAGTGAGAGGGCTGTTGCCCAGGAAAGGATGGTGAAAGCCTTATGCTAACAAACACGGCGAAGAGATGGTAGTGAGAGGGTTGTTCCCCGGAAAAGGTGGTGAAAGCCTTATGCTAACAAACAAGGCGAAGAGATGGTAGTGAGAGGGCTGTTCCCCGGAAAATGTGGTGAAAGCCTTATGCTAACAAACACGGTGAAGAGATGGTAGAGAGAGGGTTGTTGCCCAGGAAAAGGTGGTGAAAGCCTCATGCTAACAAACACAGATGCATTGTGTCTCTCTCGTTTTGTCTGTTTGGGCTTCTGGCATGCATAAAGTCAAGATGGCAAGGAGATTTCTAAAGATAGAGAGTTAGACTTTCTGAACAATTATTTCTGCAGCAGGCTATGGAAAAGAGCAATAGCAAATTGCTTTTCTTCTCGACCCTTAAACTGAAGTTGGGGCTACAAAGGTTTTGTTCAGTTTAATTTAGTCTAGTTTGGACTCTAATAAAGATTCACATTTTTTTAAAGGATTTGAAAATTGAAGAGAAAGGTATAGTATTATACTTAGGTTTCTATTCCTTCATTTATAATCTAATACTGAAAGGGCTATATGACCTAGAAGAAAGAATCTAGAAAAAGTGGAATCCTAGAAGAACTCAGTACTAGAAGATTTGTGTTTAGCATCTTTCACTTACTACTTGTGTGACTTTTACATGCTTTACTTTCTCTGTGAGACAGAGAATATAATTATTATTCTTTTCATAGGATTGTTATGGAAGTCAAATGAAATCACTTCTGGTGAAAGTGTTTTTGTATGTTACAGTATTGATTATGAGCATGAAAATTATTTTTTGCTTATTAATATTATTGTTATTAAATAATTAGTTAATAGTTCTACTACACTCAATGGATGCCAACATCTGCTGGATCATAGAAAAAGCAAGAGAACTCCAGAAAAACACCTACTTCTGCTTCATTGATTACTAAGGCCTTTGACAGTGTGGATCAAAACAAACTGGAAAATTCTTAAAGAGATAGGAGTACCAGACCACCTTACCTGCCTCCTGAGAAATCTGTATGTGGGTCAAGAAGCAACAGTTAGAACCAAACATGGAACAATGAACTGGTTCCAAATTGGGAAATGAGTACATCAAGGCTGTATATTGTCATCCTGCTTATTTAACTTATATGCAGAGTACATCATGAGAAACGCTGGGCTGGATGAAGCACAAGCTGGAATCAAGATTGCCAGGAGAAATATCAATAACCTCAGATATGCAGATGACACCACCCTTATGGCAGAAAATGAAGAGGAACTAAAGAGCCTATTGATATGGTGAAAGAGGAGAGTGAAAAAGCTGACTTAGAACTCAACATTCAAAAAACTAAGATCATGGCATCTGGTCCCATCACTTCATGACCAGTAGATGGGTAAACAATGGAAACAGTGACAGTCTTTATTTTTTGGGCTCCAAAATCACTGCAGATGGTGACTACAGCCATGAAATTAAAAGATGCTTGCTCCTTAGAAGAAAAGCTATGAACCAACCTAGACAGCATATTAAAACGCTGAGACATTAATTTGCCAACAAAGGTCTGTTTAGTCAAAGCTATGGTTTTTCCAGTAGTCATGTATAGATGTGAGTGTTGGACCATAAAGAAGGATGAGTGCCAAAGAATTGATGCTTTTGAACTGTGGTGTTGGAGAAGACTCTTGAGAGTCCCTTGGACTGCAAGGAGATCAAACCAGTCAATCCTGAAGGAAATCTATCCTGAATATTCATTGGAAGGGCTGATGCTGAAGCTGAAACTCCAATACTTTGGTCACCTGATGCAAAGAGTCAACTCATTAGAAAAGACCCTGATGCTGGGAAAAATTGACAGCAGGAAGAGGAGGGGACAACAGAGGATGAGATGGTTGGATGGCATCACCGACTCGATGGACATGAGTTTGAGCAAGCTCTGGGAGTTGGTGATGGACAGGGAGGCCTGGCGTGCTGCAGTCCATGGGGTGGCAACGAGTCAGACATGACTGGGTGACTGAACAATGCTCAAAAATTGGCCAAAATTATTCTTATCTCATTGTAATTCTGTGTATTATGGCCATCATTTCAGTAATCTCATATTCCATAACCCCATAACCCTATAAGCAAGCCATTGATATAGTATAGTTTAATTGCCAATAAAGTATCTAGGAAGAAATAAAGTTTATAGACTGTTGGATTTATGATATGATGCCAAGTTTCACTTGACTCTTCTGCTTAGGCCTGAGAGCTACTTTCATTCCTCTTATAAGAGCTTAAACTGGCAGTGGGCTGTGCTGCCATCACATGACTGTAGGAGTCAGCTTGTGCCATGATAAAGCATCTCATATGTTACATATGCAACACTTTAAGTAAAATTATATTGACATGTTGAGCATCATTGAACAAGCATAAAATTGTAGGTATAATCTGATACTGTTCATTCCTTGAAGAGGCATTTATTGAGTGACTGTTAAGTGCAAAGCAGGCTTCCCTGGTGACTCAGCCAGCAAAAAATCCTC